CCACTCCACTTGAAATTTCAAACACATTAACAGAGTTGGAAGGGACCTTATAGACCATCTAGTCCAATCCCCTCTCAAGCAGGAGACTCTACATCATTTCTGACAGATGGCAATCCAGTCTCTTCTTGAAAGCCTCCAGTGATGAAGCATGCACAACTTCTGAAGGCAACTTCTGTTCCTTTGGTTGATTGTTCTCACTGTCAGAAAGTTCCTCCTTATTTCTAGAATTAGAATCTCTCCTTAGTCAGTTTCCATCCATTATTCCTTGTGTGGCCTTCAGGTGCTTTGGAAAATAGCTTGACCCCCCCCCCCCTCCTCTTTGGGGCAACCCCTCAAATTTTTGAACACTGCTATCATGCTACCAATTTCGTTGTATTTAAGTACAATGACAATAAAGACTATACTTATGTCTCCCCTGGTCCTTCTCTTCACTGGACTAGCCATGCCCAGTGCCTGTAACTGTTCTTCATATATTTTAGTCTCCAGTCCCCTAATCATCCTGGTTGCTCTTCTCTGCACTTTTTCTAGCGTCTCAACAACTTTTTTATAATGTGGTGGTGACCAAAACTGGATGCAGTACTCTAGGTGTGGTCTTACTAGGGCTTTATAGAGTGGTGTTAGTATCTCACTTGATTGTATCCCTCTGTTAATGCAATTTAGGATTGCATTGGCTTTTTTTGCTGCCACTGCACACTGCAGGCTCATATTCAGCTGGTTGCCCATTAAGACTCCACGATCCCTCTCACAGTTACTGCTGTTAAGCCTGGTTTCACCAAGTTTATATGTGTACTTTTGATTTTTCTTACCTAAATTAATACAATTAAACTGTAAAATACCTTAAAGCGGGCATGCACAAGGCTAAGGCAACCCTTGCCATTTCAATAGTACCCCAGAGCCAATACCCCAGCAATTTGGCAAGGTCAGAATACAATCCATCTTGATTTAAGTTAATTTACTTTTAAAAGTTATCTCTCTAAATGAGTTAAATTAATATGATTTTCACGATGCTTCCCTTTCATATAAAACAGGGGAAAAAAACCCTACCATTTTTGGAAGGACTTTGGCTTTGTGGATGAAATGTAGCTGAGGAATCTTATTATCCATAAATATTCCAGAGGAGGAATAGCCAACATGCAGTGTTTGAGATTTATAACCATCAAGATTTGGGAGCTAAGAGCCCCTGAGTTTTTCCATTTAAAGAAATCAATCTGTCTTGAGATATCAAACCAGTTAATTACAATCCTGGTTAAACCCTAAAGAGTCTTGGTTTTTTTCCATTTTGATTTATATTTTGCAATTGAAAGGGTGGGAAACACACAGTATCTCTAAATTGTGCTGAAATGATTCAAGGAGATTAGACTGGAAGGCTTCCTGGCATACTCTGGTTTTGCTGCTTCCAACTCAGAAATTAAAACTCAGCCGGGGAAAACACATCCTGCCTGTTCCTTGTGCCTATATATATAAATTCACATATATAGTGTTTTTTTCCCCTCTTCTTTTGTTTCAGAAACTTGTGAAGACAGGGGAAAATAATTGGTCTCTTCCTGAACTGGTGCATGCTGTGGTCCTTTTGGCACATTATCACTCCCTGGCAAGTTTCGTTTTTGGCAGTGGCATCAATCCAGAGAGAGATTTTGGGACCTCCAACGGCTACCGACTCATATCAGTTAACCACTTCTGCGTCTGTGATCTCGCCAATGACAACAACATTGAAAACGCAACCCTCAAAAGTAACAGCTTTGGGGTTAGTTGTTTGAAGGTTGTTCCTTTCTTGTCTCTCCTCTGACTTTCGTTGATGTTATAAAAGCCGGCTTGGAAGGGGAGATCATTTCGGCTTGCGGGTTTTCTCTGGAGTCTATCAGTGCTCGGCATGTGGGAGGCAAATCCCAGCAGAACTAAGATCCAAGGGTTGAGTGGAGAGCAGGGGCTAAAAAGTCAACAGAAGTGGTAGTTGTAGGGCACTGTCTGTTCTTGGAGGAGAAAATATTGCTGGGATTCAGATGCAAGCAGTTGGTAAAGATTCTGAAGACTGACCCATAGGAAGGGAGGGAACCACATTTCCCAACAATTCCCCTTTTAAATTTCTTGGCAATCGTGATTTCCTTCTTACACAGAAAATGTCATTGAATCCCAAAGCTGGAAAGAAAAATAAAAGTTTTCCTAAACTTCAGAAAAATTTATTAATACATATACGCACATTAATAAACTACAAAATAGAAAAAAATAAAAGTGAAGAAAGGGGAAAAAGGACACAGAAAAGAAAAACAAGAATATACTAAAGAAAAGAAAGAACAAATATATAAAGAAATGAATTCCCTTTCACAAGTATAAACAATTTTAGTAACTTATCACCATCTCTTCAAATGCAACAAACAATATCTTGTAGCCCATCTCTTATCTATAAATAAATTCTTTTTTTATTAAAAGTTTTTTTATTTTTAGATTTCAAAACAGACACAACACAAAAATCCTCTTTCTTTACATACTGTAGAAAGTGTATCAGTTAGTTACAAAAAAAATTCGTGCATTTCTTTCACAGTCACCCATGATTCA